ACAACGGGCAACATAGTTCAGATAGACACAGAAGGGAGGTTATTCTAGAGAAAGGCATTATTGAGAGGGCTAGAAAATTGGGGATAAGTGAAGAAAAGGGAACTTCACACAATCAGGCTCCAAAAACGGGGAAAGATGGAATTCAGAAGGTTGAGTTTGTGAAAAGTGGCAAGAACTCTAAAAGGGAGCTAAAGAGACTTCAATGGGGATTGCTAGATCAAAAGACAACAGGGCATAGGGCGGACAAGGGAAAATCAGTGATCAGAGCTCAATGAAATTATTAAGTTGGAATGTTAGAGGGTTGGGAGGCCAACTAAAAAGAAGTTTGGTAAAAGACACCTTGAGAAGAGAAAAACTAGATATAGTCATCCTCCAAGAAACAAAAAAGAAGAAGTGGACAAGAAGCTTTTGAGAGCACTTTGGGGAATTTGTGGAAAGAAATGGGCTGTTCTTCCTGTTTTAGGCACCTCAGAGGGAATTATCCTAGCTTGGGATGAGGAGGAGGTATCGGGTATCGAAATAGATAAAGGAGAGTTCTCAACCTCTGTACATTTTACCAATAAGAATGATGGATTCAGCTGGATCTTAACTGGAGTATACGGACCAAATGTTCCTACAGATAGGCAAAGACTCTGGGAAGAATTGGACACTTTACATGAGTTTGATGAAATCCTTTGGGTCTTAGGAGGCAACTTTAATGTAACAAGGTTCTCTCAAGAAAACTCCAATAGAAGAACAGCAACTAGAAGCATGAGGGACTTCTCCAAATTTATCTCAAGACAATCTTTGCGACCTTCCTCTCCATAATGGCCAATTCACTTGGTCAAATCTACAAGAAAACCCAACAAAATGCAGACTAGATAGGTTTCTGGTAAATTCAGATTGGGCAGAAAAGTTCCCAAATCTTCTCCAAGAGATTAGACCTCACTGCACTTCAGACCACTGGCCTTTAGTCCTGAGAACAGATCTGGTCCTGAAAGGTAAACCCCCATTTAGACTGGAGAAAATGTGGACTTTACAAAAAGACTTCCACAAAAACGTAGCTTCCTGGTGGGAGGAATGTAGAGTAGAAGGCTGGGTTGGGTACAGACTGTTGCAAAAGTTGAAATTCCTGAAAAGAAAACTGAAATCCTGGGGGAGAGAAGAATTTAAATCGTTTGCAGAGGAAAAAAATGCCATCCTTTTGGAGTTGGAAGATATAGATAAAAAGGAGCAATTAGGAGTTCTGGATAGAGAAGGATTGTACACAGGAAGACAGATTGTAGACAGCATTCTAATTGCAAACAAATTTGTCGAAGACAGAAGGAAGAGTGGAAGGACGGGCCTCCCTGTGAAACTAGATCTTGAGAAAGCCTACGACTAAGTAGATTGGGACTGCCTTCTCCAAGTCCTGAATTTGAGGGGTTTCGGAATGAAATGGCTGCAGTGGATGAAAGGTTGTATAAGTTCAACCTGGTTCTCGATCATGATCAATGGAGAGCCCAAAGGTTACTTTAAAGCAAGTAGGGGCCTCCGACAGGGCTGTCCTCTTTCACCCTTCCTCTTCACTTTGGTAATGGATGTCTTTAGCCAACTCATGGAGAAAGCCAGAAGCCTTAACTTAATCAAAGGTTTTGAGGTAGGAAGAGATAACATGCATGTCTCCCATCTCCTATTTGCAAATGATGCCATCCTATTCCTCGAAGCAAATTTGGAGAACATTATAAATGTAAAAAGAGTGCTTCAATGTTTTGAATTAGTCTCTGGGTTGAAGGTAAATTACTCAAAGAGTGGCCTAGCAATTATAAACCAAATTGAAGAATCCCTCCTGGAAAGCTTCAAGGAAACTCCGAACTGCCGATTGGAAAATCTCCCCCTATCTTATTTGGGCTTGCCCCTTGGTGGGAATCCAAAAAATCCAAGTTTCTGGGAGCTAGTGATGGAAAAATGTGAAAAGAAGTTAGCTACTTGGAAACGCTGCTATCTCTCTAAAGGGGGTAGACTTACCCTCATTAAGGCTTCCCCTGCAAACATGCCCGTCTGTTTCCTTTCAGTGTTTCAGATTCCTGCCAAAATCAGATCACAGATTGAAAAACTTCAAAGAGATTTTCTATGGGAAGGTGGAGGTGATAGAAAAGGGCATCTTGTAAATTGGAGTCAGGTCTGCAACCCAAAAGAGGCTGGAGGGTTGGGAATCAGACATCTAAAAGAGAAGAATAATGCCCTCATTGGAAAATGGCTGTGGAGATTTCCCATTGAATCAATCTCCCTTTGGGCAGCTATCATCACTAGCAAGTATGGGTTAAATGCAAACAGTTGGGACTGCAATCTCCACTCAAAACGATTAGCTTCCTCAAATCCCTGGAAAGGTATCACTTCCATTCACAACCTCTTTCTTTCTTTCATAAGATTCAGGGTGGGTAATGGAACCAGAATAAAGTTCTGGACTGATCTGTGGTGGAATAATTCCACATTAGCAGAATCTTATCCTAGGCTTTAGAACCTTACCCTAAACAAAGATGCAACCATTTCTCAGTGCCTCCCCAATTCTCCCAATGAAAGCAACATAAACTTGAGACTCAGAAGACCCTTAAAGGAACCGGAGATCAGTGAGATAACTGACCTCCTCCTCTCTCTTTTAGAGAAGTCTACATTTCCCCAAACTCCGAAGACCCCCGAGTCTGGAAACCCCACCCTGGAGGTGAGTTCTCGTCCAAGTCTTTCTTCGAAGCTCTGGTTGCAGGAAACCGAGACTGTAACTTCCCTTTCAAGAAGATCTGGTGCAAGTTTGTCCCCTCAAGAGTGAGTTTCTCTGTTTGGGAGGCTTGTCTACATCAAGTAAACACTTGTGAGCTACTACAGAAGAAAAACCTTGGAAGGCTTTATATCTCCCCTCATGTCTGCATCCTCTGCCTCTGTGAGGGAGAGACAGCTGACCACCTCTTCATACAATGCCAGGTAACCAACAACATCTGGAACTACTTCCTACAGCTAGTTGGATATAGTTGGGTGGCTCCTAAGCACCTTTAGGAACTAAATTTTCAGTGGCAAGGAAGAGGTCTGAGCAAGAGAAGTTAGGTTTACTGGCTAATAGTGCTTCATGCTGTGCTCTAGGGAATTTGGGAGGAAAGAAACATTCGACTGTTTGAAAATAAGGTAAAATCTAAGGGTGAGATGATCAATTGCATCACTTACCACTGCAATTTGTGGGCTTCCAGCTCAGAGGAGTTCATAGGAATCAATGTTAACGACCTTAACAGGAATATGTATAACTTTCTGATCTCCTCCACTCCTATTCCACTCCGCCCCAGAGTTCCCTCAACAAGAAGGGAAGGAACTTGGACTCTAAGCTTTGATGGAAGTGCTTTAGGTAACCCTGGAGTTGCCGGCATAGGGGGAATCCTAAGAGATTAAAATGGACTCACCTGCTGGGTATACAATGGACCGATTGGGATAGCTGACTCCACAAATGCAGAAGTGTTAGCAGCTCTTACAGGGATTCGCCTAGTCGGCAAACTGGGTATTCAGAACTTCTCCATCGAAGGTGACTCAGCAAATATGATAAAATGGTTAGGACAACAGGAGGCCGGATCATGGAGACTTAGTCACTTTTTAACAGAGGCAAGGGACCTATTGGCTCCAACGAATGTTTCTCTGTACTGGATTCCAAGGGAGCTAAATGCCATTGCAGATGGTTTAGCGAAATTAGGTGTCATTCTGGAGACCTTGTATTGTGATAAAATTCCACCTGTGTAATTCTCAGGGGTCTGGCCCCTGTTTTGTATTTGTACACCCTCTTGTGTACCAATCTTTCCTTTAGTGAAATCAGTTAACTTCTTTCAAAAAAAAATATTAGTACCATACCAAGAAACTAAGTTGTCAAAGCGACGCCTAGGCGACAAGGCACACTTGGAGGTTCGTCTTGCCTAATCGCCAAGCAGTTTTGTATGTTGTGTTATAAAACACTTTTATATTTTTAATTTTTTGAGATTATAATTATAAAATAGACATTATTAAACTTGAATGTTCATTTTGTGTGTTTATATACTAATTTGTTTTTATTATTTTCTTATTTGTAAGGGTTTAATCAACACAGACATTGCTAACTGCTATATTGAGCCCTCGAAGACTTCAAAACCCACGCCAATAAGTAAGGAAGAACTTAATTTTGTCTAATCCAAACCTCAACCAATAAGACTGTTGTATTTTTTTTTCGAATTCTTCCAGACATTGCTAACTTCTTCCACCTTTTCTTTTCTTCTTTTCCTATAACAAAAATAGGGGTTCAGCCCCTATATTTTTCGAATTCTCTTTTCTTTATTCTTTTTCTTCCCATGAATATGTTGATTTCCTATACTTCAACATGAAGTTTATATTTTCTTATGAAAATTATGGATAATTATTAAGGAAATATGGTTATGGAACCTAGGGAACTACCCTAGGATAAATATTTTTTACTTAAAAAGAATTGATCGCCTAGGCAACTAGGCAACAAGGTGCCCCCGTCGCCTAGCCTCACCTTGGCACCTTGAAAACTATGCTAGGAAAGATGTTCAATTTTTTATGCTCAGGGAATGAAACCCCTTCTCACTGCATTAATTAGCCTTCCTTTCAGTAGACAATCAGAAAAACAACATCTACAAGTTCAGATAGTTGAAGGTTGAGGGTTGAAACTTTTGCATGCTATGCTGAGACTTTTTTTTTCCATTTCATTGGTCAAGCTGACCAGACGCTTGCTATGTTGTAGATTGCTATCAGTAGAAGATAATAATTAATCACCCTTTCCAAATACAGAAAGCAAAGATACATAAACAACTGAAAAAGTGGAACTTCAATCCTTTGTTTTGCATACACAATTCAACTAAGCCATAACCTTTTATGATCCATATTGAAATTTTTTTAGGGACATTTCCAATGTAAACATCAGGAAAAAAAATAAGATAAAAAGTGTACAAGTATCTAGAGAAAAACAAAATGGAAATAAAAAAAGAATGTTTAATTATTAAGTAATGGTAACAAACCTTCTTTGCGAGTCTACATTGACCAAGACAAAGTTCACAGTCAAGATTAGATCCGAGTTTGCATTGTCATAACCATCATTTAGCACTCCAACAGATGGACTTGTGAGGTACCGCTTTGGGTTCAATTCTTCAGAATACTTGAATTCTAGATTGCATATTTGATAAGTCTCAACTATGTCCCTGGTTAATCTTGCCACAAGCTGGTCAAGTGACAAAAAATATGGTTAAACAAGGTAATGTTTCAACTTCCTTACAAATAGAAAAAACAGAATGAGCTACGCTATCATGAAACCCAACTTTCACTAGATGACCATCACTTCAGTGTGACTATATACATACATACATACATACATATATATATATGCTACTACAGACAAGTGGCTGCCTATCTTCTCAAGAAAGATTATCCAGAGAGTGGTTCTTTCCACTCTCGGAATAAGTGGGAGTAGTTCACTCCCCAAAAGAAATATTCACTTCAGACACATAGCCACTTATCAAATAAAAACCCCACTCCAAATAACCTTTCTAATTCAAATAAAAGGACTCCATCTTTTAAATGAAATAGGTCATCAATCACAAATTGACCCTGAATTAATTATTTTAAATTGAAGAAGAAACCCAAATCAGATTTACCACTTAAGCATAAGAAGCAAATCTCAAGCTAAATAATAAATGGTATAGGACCTATTAAGGTGGGTTAATTACACATAAAACCTGATTTGATATCTTAAATGAAATAAGAAATCTATATACAAAAAATAAAAATCATTTACCAAATAATCAAATAAAAAACCTAACCAAAATTTACAATATAGATAACAGGTGTCAATCATGTAGGTCAAATTATCTAGTTACATATCAAAATGAGGTCAACAACAAAAAAACAAGGAACGTCTCAAACATTACCAATCAGAACTACCATAGAAAAAAGAGGTACTCTTATATCTTATCCTCTTTATGGTAAATAAAAATTACACTAAATGAAAAAAAGGATTTAAAGTAGGCATGGTAAGCACACCAGTGCAGTTGGACCAGTGACCCAGACACAATCCCAGTTAGGGTCAACTTCCACTGACCCATTGATCTAGAAGGAAAAGAAGTTCAACCTCGAGGCCAGGTTTTAAAACACTGAAGCATAACAAGCAAAGGTAAAGAGGTTTCACTTTACAAAAAGGAAACAGAAAAAATTTTTAGAAATATGAATAAGAAAAACAAGAAACAACCAAGACCACTAGCTAAACATCATTTGTCATGATATATCATGATATCCAAGGTAGACCAAAAATCAGCACTCAACTTTCTTCTATCAATACCTTCTACTTCTTGATGCACTAACTAACAAATGCTTGCCTTCAAAAAAATGTGTCCATTCCTTTCCTTTCAAACACCCCAACAAACCCCAAATAGAATGATGCTTGAAACAATTTTCTACAAAAGATTGGCTGCTTAGAAAAATCTCAAGCAGCTGACTAGGACTGAAATTTGTACTTCTATATAATCCAAGGAAGAGCAAAAGCTTTCACCCTAGGAAGAATTGGTTTCTAACCGGGTTCTTCCAAGCCTCTATAATTGGAAGTTGTGCCACCTGATTCCAACCCATCCTTTCCACCAGCTAGCATCAACTGAAGAAGGATCCACTTTAGAAGATTCCAACCCGCTTAACAATTTAGTACATTCTTCCAATTCTCTAACAATGGTCTTCTAAAAACCAGGGGAAGACATTGATAAAAAAAAAAAAAAAAACCAGGGGAAGACTATCTTCTCCCTTCTTTCAAAGCATCGGCTTACAATAACATCTTCAGTATCTGTACAATCTTTGAAAATTTTTAAAAAGTTAGCCTTCTCCCAGTGTTGCATGGACAATGACATGTGAGATTGGGCCGGGATGCTGGGTGGAAGAAACTAAATTTTGATGGCAGCTGTTTGGGAAATCTGGGGCCATCAGGCATTGGTGGGGTAATAATGGAAGAGAATGAAAATCTGCTAGCCATATTCTTAGGTCCTATTCAAAAAGGTGATGTGGTGAGTTGAGAAATGAAGGCAGCAGTGTTTGGTGTTGAAAAAGCCAAAGAAATGGAGATTGATAGGTTGATTGTTGAAGGGAACTCAAAAACTGTTCTGAATTTGGCTGAAAAAAGGGGAGGGAATTATTTGGCGGTTAAGGAATGAGTTCAGGCGCTTCAAACAGGCTTCTAAAGACATGGTAATTCAAATAAGATGGATTAGAAGATCAGCTAACAGCATGGCTGATGGTCTAGCTAAGCAAGGAGTTCAAAGACAACCTATGTTTTGGGCTATGTTCTAGTTAGTAGGATATTTCTGTTGGGTTACCCTTTGGGCTGTGTTGTAATTAAAGAAGGGATTGTCTTTTGTGTTTGCTTGGGGCTGTGATGCATTTAATGGGGCAATGTGGACTGCCTGTACGCTGACTCCGCCCACAACTTCTTGTTGTACTTGATTTTCCTAATTAATGAATCTTTCTGTGTTGCTGATAAAAAAAAAGAGTCTGACTCGCAAGACAAGAAATCATGGACTTGTGCAACATCTGTGGAAAAGTATATACTGCTGTAATACTTCATATTTTTTGAATTTTTACATTATATACCTGCAAAAATTGTAACCTTTGTCATTAAGTACTATTTCGCATGAACGATGGCATTTATCTTGTAAATTATCTGTTCATGTATGTCAAACAAGCTAGAGATAAAAAGAGAAATGTTATGTAGAAGTGCCTCAAAATCCATTAAGTGCTGGACCCCAATACATGTCTGACACAGATACAATGTCCATTTAGGAGAATTTGAAGAAATACCCAAACGGGAAAGAGATGCAACTTCAGAAAGCTTATGACTTTATTCTTGTAGAGAAAGATGGAGAAAAGCCCAGGGAATCCTTGACAGAAAGGTTTATCCCCCCCCCCCACCAGCAGCCTTTACAAAAACTAACTATGTGACCAAATGCACAACATGCCAAATAAAAATGTGGTACATCTTCAATAGCTTAGAAGGGCAACATAATATCACTCAAGAAGCTGCTCTAAAGTCCCAACACTTCCAATAAAGGCCATACTTGGTATTAATAATGAAATAGCAAAGAATATGGCATTCAAAGGAGAAATCATTTGAAAATCCAACTCTTGTCACAGGGGAGCATCCAACTCTTACGAAACATCGATTGCCAAGTGCCTACCTATAGAGAACCTAATAGCCAACATTATAAGAAGAAATCATTTTTCTAAGAGCTTCCTAATGATCCAAGCACCGTTACTGCAGCAGCTTCCTAATGAACCTAATAGCCAACATTAGTAAGGAAAGGCCTGGTTTGGGGGACCGAATCCAGAAGTGGAAATGTATCAAAGATGAAACTGTGACGTACTTTTCCTCAATTAAACAATCCTATTTTAGATTGAATATATTCATGTTTTCAATGAAATTCCAAGCACCGTTACTGATCAAATAAAATTGGAAGCTGCAGGAGGTACCAACTAAGTTAGGGCAGGAGTTAGAAGTTTCCAAAGAACTGGAGTTCTATCTGCAGGTTTTCATAGAAATCTTAAAAATTGTCAGCTAACAGAGATAGATGGATTAAAAGGGCCATTATCCAATGATGGTCCCAGCAATCTAGGTCTTGAGAAGAGTAGACTAGATATGGACTTGACCTTTTTTTTTCTTCTTCTTTGCAGAAGTGATCATTCCATACACTAACCTGCAATCTCATGCTTGTCATCCCAACATTTTACCAATGCGCCAAGTAATGGCCCCTTGAGAGATGCATGCATTGCAAATCCTAATAGTTGGTTAGCTTCAGCTTGTTTTGTAATGGTGAGTGATATCCCTAGTAGAAAACCATAGATAGTATTCTCCACAAGAAAAGTTGTTGCCTTATCTCTTCAATTGCTGACTATACCTACATGAATGAACACCGGTTGCTTATAATTTTATGTGTTACCAAACGAATGGTTTCATCCATGGCCTCACTCATCAAGCATTAACAGTTTTCTTTTGAACTAGTGGAAAAATGGTTTCATCTCAAACCACCAAAATAACTTTATAGCGATACCCTTCTAGTGTCATGAATTATTCATCAATAACTCCACAAGGATCATACTTTTTGCTCATCACATGGACCATTCTCCTTTCCCATCGGCATGAAGTGGAAAAAACGTCATTACATAGGGAAACAAACAATTGAGAAGGCGAAAATTTCTCTTTGATGGAAGCAAATTTCTTAAGACAGTTTCGTAGCCACATAAACCTAACCTGAGAAAGCTAACCGTACTAAAATCGGCACCTCATAAAAGACTAGTACCAGGGGTATTCTAACTTATAAGTCAAGTTCCCATACCCTGTTCATGGCAATCGCTCGACCAAGGTATGGTTAAAGTTGATCATGGAATTACTGAAAAACCCGTTAAAACTTTACCCAGTTAAGGCTATTAAATCAGAGAGTTCAACTTGTCCATATTCCAAATGGTACCAAACACCAAAATTTTCACAACCAATCACCTATATGTGCGAATATGAAAATCCACGCAGGCTAGTTTCACTGAAGAAGAAAGTAGAACACAACAAAAATAAGAAACTTTTTTACCAATAACCCGAAACTGCTATAAAGGAATCACTTACAGGTCTTTTAACTACAACCCGCAGAGTACTAGATTTCTGAGAAGTTCCAGCCAAAGGAGAATAACGACTGAAAGCTCGACTCCTGCTCGGACTCCAAGGCAGGCTCGAGCAGTGTTCTCCCTCGTCTGCTTCCTCTCTGGCTCGAGGTCCATCTTCCTTGCTACTACTGGCTTCATCCATGACCCAACCAATCAAGCTCCAAATGTCGACAAACTCACTACCCCCAATACCCCCATCGATCAACTAACTTACAGAAATTCACAACAATCCATTAAATTAAACAGACACACCTGCCGCCCCCTATCCCACCGGCACTAATCAACCACGAAACTCCCCAGAAGATTCCAATCCCATCTTTGATCAACAAATACCCCAAAATCAACCATACCATAAACGACCATAAACATACAAGATAGAATTCAAAGACCCCAATCCGATCAAACTACAAAGGCCGACAAATGAAAAACAATAATTTGATACAACAACCAAAAACATCAAAACCCAGTAATTTTCAGATCCTTGGGCGGCAAGCGATCGATCGAATCGCAGAAACAAGCATTCAATGCAAAAGGAAGTCGATTGAGGGCGATTGAAGATGGAGGGAATCGGAGCGACGACTATGGAAAATCCTCCTCTCCGTCTCCTCCTCCGAAATGAGAGAGATTTTTGGCTTTGGCCAGCGGCTGACAGACGAAAGCTCACCTCCCACCCATTTATACCCTCGACTTAACTCTGGTTAATCCAAACCTTTGGCCTAACCCAGCGTCTAATGTCCATTGGCTGGTTTTTAATCGTGTTTGCTTAAGTGCTGCTTTAAGCTTTTGATTTTGGGTGGATTTAGCCGTCGGACGTCCAGCTCCTGAGCTCCGGCCCAGAATTCTTTTTCGACCCCAGAAGACCTTCACGTGGCGCCAGGTTATAATGGATATTGGATGTCTATCTATTCGTTCAGGTACCCAGAAGTTTCCTTGCGCGCCACGTGGCAAAGTTTCAATTTATTGGCTTTTGTCCCTTGTCTGGCCCAAATGTGAGGGGTCGTCTAGGGAAGAAGTCTAGGTGGCCCCATGAGACCTTTAGTTAGAGTGATGAATACCGGATCTCTCGTATGAGATGGGATAATGTTCTTGGGTAGATTCCAATCTGACGATTGAAGAGTTTTCCATTAGCCAAATTGAATTGAAAAGATAAGTTGTAGGTAAGACTGTTAATGGGTCGGGCTGATCCGAAGATTGGGACCGATTTTGGTTGTTCCAAATCGATTATATACAATTGTCTATCTATAAGATGTCTCTTGTAGGTATATTACAAAAATACATTTTGACATAACCTATTTGTAATATTATTATATTATGATATCCAATTTTGCCAATATAATAAATAAGTAGATTTATTGTAAAATTAGAGGCTAAAAAGTATTACCGTCAATTATAGTCGCATCTTATCAGGTCAAACGCCAATTAGACATTTAGACCCCATTCCGAACTGAACTGGTTCTGCACATTTTCTTATCATGACGGGACCGAATTGGTGCTAGTGTGCAAGTTAAATCTGTGCCAACATTTAGACCCCACTATTCACCTACCTCATTGCTCCATCCTAGAGCATCTCCCCATTAGTAACAACACAAAATATGAGAGATGTTTTCGATGGACAGTTTTGTGAGGTTGGTGTGAGGAATAGATCCGAACTAATGAGTTGGTTTTACAAGATGCCAATTGGCTTGATAAGGATTGGTTGTGGCAGAGACTTGGAATCGAATCCCATCTATATCAGGGTTGGGAAGTTGTGAGTTTGGGATGGAATGCCCTTATTGAATAAAATAAAATGAGATCATTTTAATGCCACAAGGCCAATATATCAAGTTTATTGTATTTATTGTAGTAGTAAACTAGTAATTGTTGTTTCTACTACTCCTCACATCGTTATTGTTGTTGTTGTTGTTATTGATGATGACAATGATAATATGGTTTACTATATTGGCTGTCCAAATCCTTATCTGTACACATGTTATGATTTACAATCAGCACTTATCCATATATATACAACTAGTGTAAGAGCACATATGCACTTGCATGTGTGCAAATATTAACTATATATGTGATATATGGCATTTAGATTTAACTCTTATGACATGCAGAGAACCCAAAGCAAGTATCCACTTTATATAAAAATAAAATAGATAAAGTATACAAATACATATCAACCCCTCATAAAAGATGACCATCTGAGTTGAAATTACATTTCAACCTATTATAGTAGTCTATGAGAGCAAAACGTCTTCTTCTCAAGTAGTGGCTGCTAATGTTTCATCCATTCAGTCCTCTTTTTTATTGGTTGTGTCTATAAGCCCTCAACTTCAAATCGCAATATCAAGTCTCCTCTCAGTCTTCGCGCCCCCCCCCCCCTCCAACGATTTGCCCCTATTTATTATATTAGTAAGTATGCATGTGCTTTGCATGTGGCAAATTTTGATAATGATAATAATAGTTTTTCAAAATTTCTACAATTTTTTTATATTTCTATGTCTAAAAAATGATTCTTATTTGTCACACTCATTTTTGTTTAATACGATGAATATATGATATTAGAGATGTGCCCCATATGTTTTCACAATTTTTTTGTCTTTTTATACTTTTGTTTGTGTTATCTTTTTTAATTTTTATTATTATTTAAGTATGGCATCAAGGATTCACACATTTGACCCAATAAGGTGGAATTGTTGACTCACCACCAAATATGAAAATAATTCTATTATTGGGTTGGTTTTAAATTTGCATTTTATTTCTATCATCATTAAAAATAATTATTCTTTTTTATTTTTATTATTGTTTAATTATGACACCAAGGGTTCACACATTTGACCCAAAAAGGTTGAATTATTGACTCACCACCAAATAGGAAAACAACTTTGTTTCAAGGTTGGTTTTAAATTTGTATTTTATTTCTACCATCACTAAAAATAATTATTCGTTGTCATACTTATTTTTCTTTAGTATGATTAATTAATATAGGATTCAATGATAAAATGAAGTTAATACCCTAAATATAAAACTTAATGAGAAAGAATTGAGCGAGGAGAAATGTAGTAGTTTAAATTACATTTTGTGTCATCACAATTAAATGGTAACCAGATTAAAAAATAAGGGTTTTCTAGTCAAAAATAGGATTCAATGAATGTTAATGGAAGTTAATACCTTAAAATAATAGTTAATGAGAGGAATTTAAACGGGGAGAAAAGTGATTGTTCAAATTACATTTATGTCCTTACAATTCGATAAGGACTAAATTCAAAAATTGGGGTATTTTAGTCAAACAAAACTTCCACACTCTCATTCACACTTTTAATAATAGTATATATAGATAATGTGATACTTGCCTTGGTCCCATGTCGGGACTACCATTACTTTGGTCCACTTATTTTCCCTTCAATTATGTTCTTCTTATACACATGCCACTCAATTAGTATTGGTAAAGAAGCAAATTTGCCAATCAAACATATTGGTTTTTCTTCTCTTGTTATTTATGATGGAATTTTTAAATTGCATACCATATAAGGAAAATTATCGTTTGCTCCCCCTCACAAATTTTTATTGGTGCCTTAAATGGAATTTGGATTCGGTCCTCACATGATTGTCCTCATAGCCCTTTGTAGTTGTGCATTGAGAATATCTTTTGATGAATAAAAATATACAAGTATGAAGATGTTTCCAATGCACAATTGCAAAAAGTTGTGAGGATGGCATGAAGACAATTCTGTAAGAAGCAAATTCAGTCTTTTCTAAATGTATTGTCCTAAACAAGGGTCAAGGTATCGGTATCAAGTTCCATATCAAGTACAACTCCGATACAGACACAGATACAAATCACATAAATACATTAATAGCATTAAACCTAACTTTTAAAGCAGAATTATTTATGAATAAGATATAAACACATGAGAAATGCACACTTTAATAGGTTATATGAAAAGAAACATTACAATCAACAATACTAAGACTCTAAAACATGTACACATCATACAATAATCATCACTTTATTTCAACTTTTATTAAAATTTGGAAAATTTTATTTATTTAGTATTTTTATATAAATAATTTTATTTTTCAAATAATAAAATATGCTTTCATTTTTACATATAATTGTAAAATAAAACATATAAATCAATTAAGGCATATAAAACTAAATCTTAAAATTATTCATTTCAGTTTTAATAAATATAATTTCTATTTTCTATTAGTTTATTGGAAAAGATATTTATTTAGTATCTTTATATAAATGTATTTTCATTTTTTACATATAATTTAATTATATGTAAATAAAACATATAAATCAGTTAAGATAGAAAAAATTAATTTGTAGTTTTATTAAATTTTTGAAGTAAATTAAATCTTAAACTATTTATTTCAATTTTTATAATTATACTTTTCAAATTTTATTAAAGTTGAAAACAATCCAAAAGCAATCAATATACAAATTTTTCAAACTAAGCATGGATACGCTTTAATATTAATGCATATTGGACTGTATCCAGTGATTACACGATATGGGCCGATATGGAGGCCTATCATGCCGATACACATGATGACTCATGGGATATGCACCTAATCGTGGTGTATCCCATAATCATAAGCATGGATATGGATACGATACATTTTATATTGGGAACAGTGTTTTCGAATCGCTGTTGACTCGGATAGTCGGACCGTTCGGCCCGGGAACTGTCCAGGCAATCGGTTCCTTTTTTGCATAAATCCGGAATCTGGTCAAAATCATTGGAAGAGTCAACAAATCATTGACCTGAGCAGTTGAACCGTCGATCCGTTCAACGGTTTTTGATCGTTTTTTTTAATTATTATTTTTTTATTTTTTAAATTTTCCTGTCAAAACGAACTGGACAATTGGACCGTTGACCTGAAAACCAGTGACCAAAACGGTTCCATTTCTGAGTCGTTTTTTAAAACATTTATTGGGAATATGTATAATACACCTTATCCCAAACTTCCCCACTTATGAAAGTGCTTGAATTGATTGTTTGTATGAACAATCAGACTGTCTGGCCTTAGATCTTCTGATTTTGCCTCGTTCACCATTAAAGCCTCTTTTTTTTATGCATGGGGTCCTTCCCTATATGCTTCTACTAATGGGTGTCAATATTATGTCACTTCCGTTGATGTGTTTATTGTAAATTCACTTGGTGTATTCCCCATAAATTGTAAAGTAGATGTTATTGATGTGTTTCGTGACATTTACTACTCTTTTTCTACAATTATCAAAGCCTATGAATCTGATTGGGTAGTTAATAGGTGACTAGCTAGCTACTTGTACCGTTTGTCTTGTCCACACATAATACATCGCCCCTTCAACTAAGCATAAAGGTATTCTAGAGACAGCCCTTTCAGTCTTTCACCTCTTTCTAATACATCCTAGGATAAAGCAAAACAAATGGTGACGTTTTTCTTTAGTCATCTCCTTCTGCATGGCCTCAAACATCTAGACAGCTATTCTGGCCTTCTGGGTGTTTGTGTACAACAGGCACAAATTTGAGCTCTATTCCTCTCACCGATTATTTCTTGGTTACAGTCAATCAATCACACCACACGTGCCTAATTTACCTGAGCAAGTGTTAAGTGTTCATCTCTTGACATGTAATATTTATTCATTAATGACTCAGTTTTCCCTCATCAGTTTTTGGGTTTCTAAA